CATGAAAGTTTAATTTGTGTTTGTGTGCTATCAGAATTGTGCAACATAAAGTTTGCATTGATAAAATTCCATGTTTATTTAAATTCCTGCTCTACCGATGTTGCTTTATATTTAAACACCACACATTAATTTCACAGTAAACCACAGACATATACAGTTGTTTCTCTTGGCTGGATGCCAATCAGATGTATTCCCTGCACACTTGACTAAAGAAATGGAAGAATTTGGCTCCTATTTCTCATGTCAAAACATTAGAGGCACAGTATTTTTATAACCTGAATGATAAAAAGAGACCTGTGAAAAAAAAGAAACATTCCTTAGACCAGGATGATATCATGAAACAGTTGGGGTTAAAACCAGCTTTGAGTACTGCTAAGAAGGGCACCAGTGTTTATGAAGATAATTTAAAGCTAAATGAAAAGCTGGTAACCGATAAAGGATTTTATTTTACAGCCTTCTCCTTCAAAAATTCAATTTAGAAAATGAACAGCTTGTTATAATAATCAATTAAGTAATCTTAGTCGGCCATTTTCATCTTTCTCTCTGAGGCGTCTGAAGGAAGTTTGTCTAATGAAGTCTCCCACTGAGCATATAATGCAGTGACATGAAATATCGATTTTAATGTTTGCTCTAATGACTTTGGTTACTTTAATCAGTTTCTTTTTAATACCCACTATAGCAAGGCCACAAAAGCTTTCTTTGTGTATCAAAAACACAAATATGAAAATGTAATACTTACAAGGAACTAAAGATTATCTCCAGAGATCTAAAAACGTCTGGATCGAAGGCTGCACGTTCACTAAGCTGTAAAAATACTCCCACGGTGTAGCGTAAGGTGGTACCTCATATGAGTCTGTTAATGTTGCTGTGAATTATAAAAACACACACAGACACGACATCTGAGAGCCTCAGGCTGATGGATGAGAGACAAGGAGGCATGACAGGAAGCGAAACAGCTGCCTGGAGACAAAACTCAAGACCTTCTGCCACTTCTAATTTTCTCTCTGACTGATTGCAGCACATGTAAATATAAAACAAACATCATTCACTTACAGGAATCGGACCATTGACAGACGATGTAGTATGCTGGTGTAGATTCTCAGTCATCTGAGATGTGACAGTCCTAAGTGCTAAAATAGAAGGCAACTGTTTCTCTTCTTAATCCAAAGAGAAGGATGAGTCCAATACTTTTGACTTCAGTACTTGAGATGATGCAGTGCTGACAAACGTCTGTTTTGGGGATTTGTTTATTAAAGTTCAGATCGACTGCTTTCTGTGTCTGCTCCATAATCCGTGTGGCCATCCGCACTGGAGGAGTTTGGATCTGTTCTGGTTTGCCGCCATTTATGTTTAAATGTACAAAATCAGATTCAGTCCTTTTGTCTGTGAAGTCTTGTCTGGCCTTTTTGAAATTTACACGTTTTGCACAATCATCTGTTATAAATTGACTGGATCTGACACTCTACTCCATCATCCATGCTCTTAACTTCCTGGTGCAAGCAGAAGCCATCTTAATAAAAGCCTTAAATTCCCACTTGCTCTGTGGCACTGGGGCATGGCGGAAAACCCTTCTCTGTCATTTGATTTTCCAATTATTTTTCTTTTATTTTTATCATCAAGCAAAGTCGTTTTAAAATTAGTTAGCAAATACAGGGAAAGGCTACTTTGACTATTCATAAGAAAATACTAATAAAATGTAAAAGAAGATAAGACAGCCATGAAAAAAACAATAGAATTCGTAATCTACTAAATTGGGTTAAAATGAAATTTAAATCTTAGGAAAATGTGAATTTTTATAATAACAAAAAGTGAAAAAGCTTGTTTTAATTATAGTGGTCTCATATTAAAGTATCTTTCTTCTTATAAATCTACATTAAAATATATATCTTATATTATAGCTGGTGTAGTTATTCTCCACGCATCCTAAATGCTTCATTTCTGTGAATTAGCTCCAACAAAACATTAACAGGTTGTGGGAAAAGACATGTTGACTAGATGACATCCGGCAGCAATGGCAAAAGAAAACCCATTCCAACTCCAAGCTGATTCAGTAGCCAGAGCAGAGCTCTTCACTCCTAAGACTCTGATTATACATTTCAAATAAGCAAAGTCTTGAGAAAATGGCTACAAAGATAAGGTTTTGAGGTTGATTTTCTCCCGCTGGAGGCAGAATGCATTGTGGGACATGCTGCTGCTCACAGCTCTCCAAAGTCCTACAGAAATCTCAAAAGACCTATGAAAACTATATCCCATGAAAGTGAAATTAAGTACAAATATATGTAAAGGCATCCTGGGCTTTTAAAGGCAATGGAAAAGTTTAAACAAGGGAAGTACAGCTTTTTGAATCAAGAATCTTTATCGTCATCATGTCACCATAATGAAATTTTGTCTAGACACTGTCTTGAGACACTTTAATTAAGTGCAGTTCATGAGAAGGAGCAAAATAAGCTCTTAAGATATAAAAGGACAGTACAAAGAAAAAAATAAAAACAGAAAATTTATATAAGAACTGGTACAATACCAAACACAACAAACATAAATAAATTTGGAAAATTTTTGGTTTTTCATTTTTTTTTTTTTTGCAAAATCCTGTTTACCCCAAATATCTCAAGGACCTGATAATCAGCAGAGGAGCTTTGTGATGGAGCAATTACTATAGAAATGCATTTTCTCCAGACAAATATCAATTTTTGCTTTGTTTTCTTATTTTTTTCTAACATTAAAAGAAAGTTTCATATCAAATAAAACTATTTGAGAAAATACATAATAAAACTTTGAAGGGAAAAGGCTGTTGCCTATTTTTTTAAAATGAAATTAACAAACTTATTTACTACATTGGTTGGCTATACGCAGGCCTCATTACTAAAATCAAGAGATTACTTTTAAACAGAGATGGCAAAACTACTCACTTTCCGTACTTGAGTAAAAGTACAGATACTTGTGTTAAAAAATACTCTGGTAAAAGTGGAAGTACTGATTTAACTTCTTTACTCAAGTAAAAGTAACAAAGTACAGGCTTGTAAATTTACTTAAAGTATAAAAGTAAAAGTAGAAACCACTTTTTTCATGCTGTTGCCTACATTTTAAATGGATGTCTGCCAACAGGACTAGATCTCCGTTGTGTTCATTTTCAATAATCTCGTCGTCCATACTACTATGCTAACGCCACCGCCACCAAGCTGCAATGATTTGCCGCCAATGAATACCGCAGAATCTGTCGATTTATCTTGTAGTGGTGCGTCAAATGCAACGTAGATTCCCATCCAGTTAGATTGAATTTGGTATTGATGACGTGAAAAATAATAACGGTAACTCCATTGAAATGATTCAAAACTAAAGTAACGAGACAATTTTTTAAAATGTAAGGAGTAGAAAGTACAGATATTTGTGTCAAAATGTAAGGAGTAGTAGTAAAAAGTCGCCATAAAAATAAGTAGTAAAGTAAAGTAAAAATATCAGAAAAATCTACTTGAGTACAGTAACGAAGTATTTGTACTTCATTACTTCCCATCTCTGCTTTTAAAGAACCTGTCGGCACTCATAACCCCCTGTACACTTCACGACTCACGATCAGGCTGAAAGTCGGCCCGACCGAAAGATTCTCGCACGACTGGAAAATCGCCCCTAAAATCGCACAGCGTACGTCGGGCTTTACGGTTATGATTTTAATCTATGCTCTGGGTTACCCATAATTCCAAGGAGTATTGTAAAAAATAAAAAACTGAAATACATCGTTCTTTTAAGATATTTATTGCAGTTTGAAACATATTATATGAGTGTATTTTTTTTAATCAGTCATCTAATGAACTATACACAGTTATTAAAATAGTAATTAAAAGTACCAATGTCTGCTTTGCTATTGATGTCACATTTAAAGGGCTCACCATCATCTTGAAATCTGCCAGGTGTAAATTACATTCTGGTCAGTAATTTTTGTGTCACGTGGGTTTCAATGTTGAATGTTGAGCACCATTACATCTTCAGAGAGACATGCTAATCCACAATTCATTAGGGGGCCTCCAGGTGTCAGTGACGGGGCCCCTAAGAAGTCGGGGGCCAACTCGGCAACTGCAGTCTCTTATTACCGATAGTTACGCCACTGGCTTGGTTTATGAAAAAAAAAAAAAAAAAAAAAACTGATGTGCTGATCAGACCAAGTCGGATGAAAACAAGAGCTCGATTTACAAATCGTCTGTTTTTATTGATATTGACCTGTTATTATGAAAACGTAAAACTAACACCTCCCCGTTTAAGGATATGCACATGCATACAGTTAACACTGGGAAAGTTTTATTTATTTATTTAGAATTTTAGGTTTTTTAAAGTAACTGGAACGTCTTACAGGCTGCTAAATCGAGCGATGAATAATCGCTCATCGGTCATTCCTTGGCTCAGCTGAGAGGAATAACTTCCTCATGTTTATATTTGTGTGGCGTTTTTATCAGCGGCGACTGTATTTATTCGGCTAAGTCTAAATGTGAGACAAATATCTATTTTTATTTTTTTCCCAAATGAACCTAAGAAAGCAGGCAGTTAGCTTTACTAGCATGCTAGCTTGACGCAGCTAACCTAATGCTAACCCATTTGGGTTAGTGCTGTTTTAATTGTTGCCGCAGTTCAAGATGATTTACTGGTTTATCGAAGAGATATTTTTATCTAAAGTGAATCAGGTCCCAGTTATGGAATGTAAGTTTAAGCTGTTAAATACGTTTTAGTAAGGGTATGAATGGCATCACTGTGCAGTGTACGTTGGCACCTGACGGCTAATAGTTAGCTACCTGTGGACATTACGCTGCTAGCCACGTAAACTGCTCGGTGTTGACGTAGCAAGAGCAGTTAGTCCGCCTGTCCTCCCTAACAGCTATTTACATTTTAAGTGACACACAGCTATTTATTTTTATTATTGTTAATTCAGAAATCCTCAGATGAAAGTGACATCGACTCAAAATGCATTAGCTGGATTTGAACGGGTGGTTTCCTGAATTTGGTGCTTGGAGCGGATGATGAAGCGGCTCTTCTGGCTGCTTTCAGGCTTAAACAGAAGAATGATGAAGCTACTTTTTGCTCTCGCTTTGATTGCCTACATAGCCTGTGAGTATATGATATGCTTTTATTGATTTATCGTGCATGATGTCCTTGAAGCAAACCTTTTTACGATTATATCTCAACGACACATTGACACTCCTGTGGAAACTTCCATTAACAACACAGACTGCAGCTCAGTTTAGGGGCAAGCCCCCAGGAAAGTAGACAATACAGGCTGAAAGTCTTCAAACAAAAAACCTCAAGTTAAAAATATTCCCTAAGTTGCTGGAAATAACCTTACAGCTTTTTATTTCTGTGGAAAGTTACTTATCATAAATAATAAATAAAAAAACATTTACTTTGGAACATTTACAAGGAAATGAAATAGGTAATATACTTAGTAGGCATGGATCTGTATCCAAAATAAACTACTGTGTTACAGTATCAAAGTATTTATAATAAAGTTGGAAAATATATATATCTAGCTGATTTCATTAGAGGCAAAAACAGCAATTATTCTTACTTATATTGAAGTTATATAGCATATTTTATGTTACTTATCTGTAATATTTCCATGCAGTTTTACTTCACATTTTAACTTAAAGGTATAGCAGAGGATTTGACAATTAACACTAGTTTGTTTTAAGCTAGTCCATTGATCACTATTAACTAATATGCGCTCCTTTAAACTATGACATCTAAATCTACAACATGCATAGAAAATAGGTCTCATTTCATAAAGGTTAAATATACATAAGAAAATAACATCTGAGGTTGGGATTCAAGTTATTGATTAATGAATTCATTTAAAGTTGATTTGATCTAATCAGTCAAGTAAAACTTGATTGATAAACGGACATTTTCTTAAATGCCTGGGTTTTTATCTTGTATCAAGCAACATGAAGGGCTAAATATGTGGGTTGTTTTTTTTATTTGCTGTATAATAAAAAAACAACAACAATATTTTCAGAAGCTATTTTCTAACATATGTTAAATACTGACCAAGTAAACAAACTAAACATTTAATTAATTGAATTTAGGCATATTTATATGACAAAATGGGAACCTATTAGCTTCAGAGAACAGTAAAAATGTGGCTCAATGAAATGCATTAACTTTACTTTCACATCTATTGTTTATTTCTAACAAGTCTTTTTCCATCTTGTCACAAATGTTTTGCGTTATGCCCTCCACTTTTCTACCATCACATCCTTGCCTTCTTGGAACAGCAGAGAAATTATGCTGCACCACCATGCTGCATGACTAAATGGGTGCTATTTAGGTGATAACTTAAAGAGTTTATTGAGTGTTTGTATTTGCAAATAGAACCGTTAAAATCTGTTCTGCATCCCTGTCATCATTAGATCCGGTAATGGTCTCAGACCGGACCCTGGAACGATTCATGTTTCTGCTTCAGCATACCTACCCGATTACTAGAACATCCTTCTAAGTGGCTCTCTAGATTAATTGAAAGGAGCAAACTTTAATTTAGTAAAATGATAATCAACAATCATAAGTTGATTACTTGTTTAAATCACCAGTCCGGAATTCCACAAGACAAAAATAGTACCTTTGTGACCAACATTAGTTGGATCAGTACTGATTTCATTTATATTTATCATATAAAACCTTAAACTCGTGTGTAGATGTATAAAAAAATACAACAAAACACAAATTTGAGAAGAAATGGATTCATGTCAAAACGTGGTTTGATATTATTAATTTATTGATTCATCTGGAAAAAACTGAATCCTTGGTGTTTGGTAGAGCTAGGGGCCTATTTGTGATGCATTACTTAATTGTAGAGATTTCAAGGCATATTGAAACAAGATTCTTAGCTGAAACCTGATTTGGCATTGGTATTTTTTATACAGTTAAATCTCACCCTCTTCAAATAAACGTTAGTTTTAACTTGACAAATCAGATAGGAGGTACTTAATCTACTTAACCTGTCATCATTTCAATCATTTATCCTAGTTTATGCTTCAATTTTAATTCCCTTGGAAGCTGGGAAATAGTTTAAGACATGAAACCATTTATTTCTTATTTATAACATCCCTGGCTATGCACCTACCTGTTGCAACAGCAGCCACATGTTTACCAATGCATTAGGATGATCTCTGTATAAACGTGCTGTACTGTTTAGTTATTGCTTTACTGGAACATTAAACTTACAGATGAATTATTATTTGGCCGAAATGAAGATCAGTAAAAAAAAATAAAAAATCTAGTCATTTGAAGACATGAAGGCATTCTCATGTTACTGATTTTGCTTTACATAGCCCCTCTAATTGTTTGCTTAGCACGAAATCCAAAACAACATTTTAAATAATAATCTTATATTTAGTTAGATCTCAACACACAAAGGAAATAATTCCTAAGTTCAGTTATTCCATAATATAATCAGATAATTTTTAATGATTTACGATTCATAATTCATATTAATCGATGCAAAATTATAAGCCTAGTGAAAAGTATGTCCATGACCCAACTAAATATGCACACTTAAATGTGTGCATCAGTGTGGTCACAATATATTTTTTCATTTCGATCGATACAATATAGTTCTTATCATTGATGTAAACATTTTAAGAGCCTCAGGAAAAACTGCAAAGAAAGTTTCAGTTATAAATTAAATGGGTATGAATCGGGACCTGCATGTCAGGCTTTTAAAAGATCAGAAATCGGTGATCGGCCAGAAGCCTGTAATCGGTTCACCCCTACTTTTTCTGATGAGTTGATGTATTTTCTTGAAAATCTAATTGAAGTTTGGTTGTCAATAATGTTTAGCGACCCTATAAAAAATATGTCAACAGCAAAGAAACTGTAGCAGTAATTTAAATGTTGTTGGCAGATCTTTTGATTAGCTTGAAAATCATCTTAATGGTATAAGAAAATCACTTAGTTTTTACATATGCGAACACTACTGGATTAGATTTGAATCAAATTCGTTCAGTTCTTTCTCTTCAGGTTTTCCTTCTTTTACCCTAAATCAAAGCTACTGTCGGAAGGTTTTTCTGCTCCTTAACTTCATTTTGTCGTTTTTTCTTCCAGCTGTTTGGGGAACTTACACTAACATGAGGTAAAAGTCATTACTTTTTCATCACACTTGTGCTTGGCAGGAAAAATGTATTAGCCTTGCAACTAAAGAAGCTTGTTGTCTTCTAAAGCTGTTGTTTATGTCTGCGTTTTTGTTCAGTGAGTTTCACTTTTAATTAGTTTCAGTTGGATTTGTTCTTCTACAATATATAAGCTCCATATTACTGATAGTTTTTGGTCCTAAGAGATAAGAAAGTATGTTTTCTTCTCCTGCAGTTCTTAGTCTTCTGAGTGAATTTGCATTGCAAAGAAAAAAATATCCCTAACTTTTAAAGTCACATATCTGTTTTATCGGTGCACTTCCTGATCATGTGAGCAGCTAAAATCCAGGCATCCTTTTTGTAACGTATGTTATTTAAGTATTTGTAGTCATTGATTGCTTTTTTTTTTATAGTCTCTAAGCTTTATATATCATATAATCACATCACAGGCGTTTTGAAATGACCTTCCTTCATCATGATTGTTAATTACTATGCGTTGATTCTCTTATTATCAGGAACAAAGAATTTAAACGCACCACTGACTACCTTTTAAATGCATAATTTTAAAGCTTTTAAAATTATGTGACATTTGTTAACATTTCTATCATAATAAAGGAAGAAAAAAACAATATTGGAGAAAAACTGAGCCAACAAATCACAGCACATTTCAAAACAACACAGTTATTAAAACCCTGACTAAAATATCGGATTTGGGATGATTGATGTTGTTTTGACTCATACAGGAAACACATGCCTATGTCTTGATATTAACATTGATATTTACTTTCTATAGATCAATACAAGAAAATGGAGATGTGAAGATTGAACAGAAAATTAATGAAGTAAGTTTGTCATATAAAGCTGTCTTTACTATGTTTACATGTAAACGGATGACCCTGTTAGCTTTTTATTATACTTATCAAGCCTTTTCCTCTGTTTAAATGCATTGAAAAGTTTTGCTGCCTTCACATTTTACTCTAAAAGAGCATTAAAGGTTGGTGCAGCAATAAAGTTAGTTCATCAATTTTCTTCTTCTTCATATGCTTTTAGTTTTCTCCCTTCCATTATTAAATAGACGGATCTATCTATGGATGCTCAAATTCTACAGGGTGAAGCCCATTAGCCAATATTGTGACCGACATCATCAAAAGCCTTGGGTAACATCTGCAGAGGATGTAGCATCGCCTTGTTTTAATCAGTTAAATTAATGCTGTCCGCTGAGGCTCTACAGCAGTCACTTTGCTCTCAGTCAGCCATTACTTTTTATTAATTTTATCTTTCATTATAAGTTGCATGTTTGATTGTAACTGATGAGTGCGACCTAAACCATCTGGAACCTGTATAATACAGCTTATAGTGTATCTTAGCTTGTAGCTTGACAGTAAACATCAAATACTGAACTTTTCATTATTCTTATATTGGTCTGAAATTCTTCAGATATTTTAAATGTTGTAGTTATGAATATAAGCTGGTTATTTCTTGACTCTCAAAGGCCAGATTTAACCAAAGGGTCTTCCTGCTGTTGATAGTAATCACACTGATGACTGACCCTCTGTGTACCAGAATATCAGTTTTTGATTTTTAGATGAGTTTCTAGGATGAAGGGATTTATTAGTAAGTCTTTGAAGTTCTGATTGAAAAGCCTTACCTATAATGAAATCATTTTCAGTGTTTTTCTGATGTTGACATGAAAAAAAACAGTTTATCATGTTGACCTTAGAAGTTAAAGACGTTGCTTACCTTTGAAATGACACCGCCCCTCGGTTTGTGCTGTGCACAACGAAACGTTGCGTTTATTTTGAAGTACAAATGGATCAAAAATCTAATATTAACTCTGCATCTCAAAAAATATGAGCTGAATCTCACTTGTTACATTGGGACATCATTGAGGAGTTCTGCTGAATCAACTTACTTACTTTTTGGATAAGTTGCTGTTTTTGCAGTCTTAAGCGGTAAAAAAAAAAAATAAGTTAAGAAGAAACCCCTGGACTTTGTTTTCCAAGTTTGAAGAATTTATGCTTCCCATCCAGAAAGCTTTTTCAAATCAAAATGTCTGGGGTGTTGAGTCCCAGGCTTTAGAGTAGCCCATCAAAGCCTTGATCTGGCAACAGGTCAACCCCTTTGTAATGGGGAGTCATTAAAGGGGAATGCTGTTTTTTTATTTTATTTTATGTTTTTACATTGGACCCTTGATTTTATGTTATTACATCATGTTCTACTCACCCATATAAGTTTTGTGTCATTTGGAGCTTTTCTGAAGATATTCCTTTAGGTTATATCCAAGTAAGCTTTCTTTGGGCAACGACTTGAAGCACCAACTAAACTATTCTTTATGGTACGCCAGCATTCATAACATGTAGGCGAATAACTGTCCCCCAGACATCCCCCAGTTATATTTTTTTATATTTATATTTTTTTTAAACAAAGCGGAGTGCCGGACTGGAGTTGTGACAGGCAGCCCAGGCCACAGGCAGCTACGCTCTACCCCTTCTATTCATTCGGCGAGCTAATCGGAATCGTATAATTCCATTTCGAGAGTGAGATCATCTGTGGTAGTGGCTACTGTATGTATTTCTCTCAGAAGAAGGACTTGCTTTGAATTTAGACCAACTTTTCTCCAATCCCTTTCAGCTCAGTTGTGTCAAATATATTTGATGCCATTTTATTTGATGGCCTAAATCCTTAAAAAAAAGAAGCAGTGCTGGTGTCACTGGAAAAAGGAAATTACAATGATTAATATTTTACTTTGATATAAAACTGGATTTTGCTACTTCTATTTGTTGGTGCGTGGAAAGTTTAGCTGGTATTAAATGTAAAGTCTGCTTTGTAGATTCTTTTTTGCTATTATTTAAAAGGCTAGTTATTTATGTTTACCGTAAATTTGTACTGATTAAACCTGAGCTGCAAAACCTTCTCATAAATTTGTCAAAAAATATAACTGGTTGCACTAAAACACTTTTACTGCAACCAGTTATTTTATTCTATTTATCATAGTCATATATTATCTTCTAGACTTTATCAATATGGCATGTTTTTTTGTGTGTTTGGAGAAAAAAATAACATGTTTAACTCAAATAATATTAGGCATTCAAGGAGTTTGGCATTTCTTTGCACAAATCAAAATTTATCTGCAATAATTTTTTTTCACTGTAACAGCAATCAAAGGGCTCAAATATTGTTTGAATTTCTGAAAGTAAGTGGAAAATTATACCAGTGTGTCTAAGAATGGTCTATCTGATCAGAAGACCCAGTCAAACAAGAACATTAGCATTAAAATGGTGGGACTCTATTCATAAGCCTGCATTAGCATGCTGTTGTGATAACAGTCACGCAGAATGGGATCTGTGTAGTTTGTGATGATGCATTTCTTGCTTCTTCGCTTTCTTCAGGCTGTCGCTCCTTTGAGAGAGAAGATTCGGGATCTGGAACAAAGGTGTGCATCTCTCTTCATTCACTGCTGGTCTGATTGAAAGCTTTTTAGTAAATGGCTTTTATTTAGATTAATAAGAAGCAACAGAGAACCCTGTATTCTGCTTGGAATGATGTTGACAGAGGCTGACTGAAGGTAATTTTGTCAAACTGATTGAGTCAGAGCTCATATTCTGTGGAGCTCAGTCAGTGACAGCTTGAATTGACATCAAAGGTGAGATTTGGCTCCGATAAAGTAAACACTGACAAAACTGAAATTCTAAACATTGAAAATGCAAAAACATGAATTTCACACATTGGAATTTCAAACATTGTAAATGTAAACATTAAAATGTAAAAATTCCCACTAAATAACTGACTATACTGTCATTCTTAGCTGCAGCACTTTTCAAAAGAGATGATTTCCCTGTCAGTTCTTTCAGCTACAATATCACTATAAGCTGGCACTGTTTTTGCATGGGGGTTGGGGCTAAACTGAAGGCTATTTCAGGGTCTTTCCAGTACTCTTAATAGTCATCTACCTCATCTACCTGTTGTTGTTATCTTTTGGCTGTATAAAACAACACGTAATCCAGTAAGTTTAGTTTAAAATTAAACTAAGTGAATACCTGTATTTAACGTTAGCTATGGCACTAAACCATTGAAGGACCATTCAGTTTAGCCCCCCCAACATGTAAAAACAGTGCCAGCTTGTAGTGGCATCATAGTTGAAGGACCTCTGCAGTGACACTGAAGTCATCTCTCTTTCAATTGTTTGCATTTCCAATGTTTAATTTTTCAATATTTGAAATTTCTGTGTTTAATTTTACAGTCTAATTTTTCAGTGCAAAATATCACATTTGATATCAATGGAAGCTGTCGCTGGTTTAGCTCCGTAATATTCTGATTTGAAAAATCTACCGACGATGCCATGAATTTTAATTCTGTCTGCAGTATTAGAATGCAAAAGCAGTAGTTTATAGTGAAGCCTTTGTCCCATTTCGATAAATCTTTGGTGCATCACAAGTAGATCACACCCCTTAAAAAGAACATGTTTTATATGTAGTTTAGTTTTGCAGCTGTGTGGGCACAAGCTTAGCAAACATTCAAGGTGCTGCTTTTCTGTGCTTATACAGCTGCCACTGATTAGCTCTGGAGGTTTCAAACAGCCGTGAATGCTGATGAGATGGATAGTCAGGACATGTTTTGCTTTGTTTTTTTTATATATCACCATTTCTTATGCTTTTGTCAGTAAAAATTTTTTTTTTTCTTTTATTAAAAAATGTAAAATCATTATTGACTTTTCAACCTCCACATTATTTATATCTTTAGAGGCACGCCGTGTAACTTTTGGCCACTAGGGGGTTGTCTAGCACCCCTAGTGGCCACGAGCTCTGCAGCACTGGCAAAAGTCAACAGTCAGGTGGCGAGCCTCCTGCGTCGTCATCATCATCATCTTTATTTGTAGAACGCTTTATAACAGCTATAGCTGGAAACAAAGTGCTGAACATAGTAAAAATAATAAGACAATAAAAGAATCAAATACAGCACAAAAATATGAAATAAGGCAACAATGTGAATTTTTTAAACTAAATAAACAACTAAATTCTGCCAGTGTTTAAAGCCATTGAATAAAAGTAAGTCTTGAGCCGTGTTTAGAAATTAATCAGGGATGGAGTCTCAGCTGGACACTATTCCATAGACAAGGAGCATCGGTAAAGAAGGCTCTGACCCTTTGAGCTTCCTCTTAAACCTCAGCACCTACAGAAGCTGCTGTTCTACTGACCTGAGAGACTCTTTTGATTGGGGACTGCTCTAGGCGTCAAGGTTCAGCTCAGAGACTGTGAGAAACGCCGTTGGTCTCTGGAGAGCACCATTGGGGCAGGCTGGCTGGACAGCTCCGATCGGTGGGGAGGACCATCGGTGGAGCTCCAGGTGAACAGCAACTGGATCAAAGGAGGCGTCTTGGTTAGCTTTTGTTTGTAGCCTGCTAGCTTTCTTTGCCTGTATTTTGCTTTAACTAAACATTGAAAATAATAACAAAGATATATGACTGTATACTAGGAACAAATGCTGCTGGAACGGTGCGTCATCTCCCAACTTACATAATCGGTATTTCAAGAGGGGATCCTCGCTTATAGCATTGATAGTTTCAAGCTCTGTATATTTGCCTGAGGAATCATTTGAAATAACTCATAAATCAACTCTTTAGGTTACAAAGTCTACGGTGTGCCTTTAATTATAAGAAACCTTCCCTGTAGACACAGGGAATGGTAACTGTTTTGTTGTTTCCCTTGTTTTTTGTTGTTGTTTTCTTTTTTCTCTTGTCTTTTTATAACAAAAAAACTGCTCTTTCTTCTAGTTTTTCACAGAAATATCCACCAGTGAAATTTCTCTCGGAAAAAGATCGAAAGAGAATTTTGGTGAGTGAAAAGCATTCATTACAAATGTACAACTTCAGTTCTGATTATGTTTTTTTATTTTGTTTACATCACTTCAGTAGAGCATAATGGTGCGTTCAGACTGGACACGCTGTCTGTGGCAATGAGGGCGTTCACTGCTCCAACTCTCCTCATGTTACTAGATAGAACTGAGGTGTTGGCTAACAGCAGCACCGCATCGATAGAGCGGAGCAGTGAAGCTGAAGCTGCAACGAGCTGAAATTTTCTATGAAATTGCGTAATGGCAACAAATCAGGGACAGATTGTAGGTGAATATTTTTTTTACTTAAAATAGAATACAGAGATAAATTATGTTAACAATGGTAGAAATGGTAATAATAATTTATTCTTAGAAGGAATGTTCATCATCCTCACTGCCTCCAGCATAGAGCCCGTTCTGTCACTGCCCACTGCCCGGCATTGCTGCTTTCTGCAGGGCTAGATTTACAAGAATCATCGCCAAATCCAGCCATCATCCAGGCATAGCTCTGGGTGAACCAAAGTGGACTCTTTTTCAGTGCTTTTCCAAAATTGATGGTCTCCCCAAGGTGATTCAAAAATTGTGCATGTCTTGTTCTGCACATACAAAAAAGACATGGAAACCCTCTGAAGATCAAAACCCCAAATTCCTTATATTGGCCCGATTTTTATTTAATAAATCTCTAAATAGGTTTCTACTTTATGGGTCTAAACTTACTCTGTGCTGCTTTGAGATTCTTAACATTGAAAGTACTTTACCTTGCTAAAGATGAATGTCCTCTAACACAAGCAAATTCAGCCCTACTTGCTCTCTCATGAACTGATTCATAAATCCTATAAACATGACGGTAGTAAACAGAAGAAAGAAAAAAATATCCTTTTAACTTCTGCAATGCACCTTTTAAAGGTATAATGTAGTCATGGTTAACACGTTATGAAGCATCTGTTTTTTTTGTGTTTTTTTTTTTGTGAAAGCACCTAAATGAAAGGGTTCACAATAAGTGACACTGGTTTAAAAGTTAATTTTCAATGTTTGTGACAAGAATCTGTCACCCAAGTATCACAAACATGCTGCTAACTAACATTAGTTATTTGTTTGAAACTAGTGAGCGGGACAGAAAAAAGGGACTGAGCAGTCAGTCCGAGGTCACATTGAAGTGGCGCAGCTGTGGAAGTCACTCCGTTAATGTGGCTGCAACGCTTCAGGCTTGTGCCACATATAAAGTGAGATGTTCGTGTTACTTGGTCGGCCCTAATCAGACATCCGATGCAGGATGTCGCTGAAAGCACCAGAGGGGTAATTCACACATGAAACCAAAACATTCTTTTGTCAGGATCATGGAAACCAGTGACCGTATGAACAGACCTTAAATAGAAATCCACATGAATAACAAGAAGCTGTTTTTTCCATCTGAACATTTCTCTGTAGCAATTCTCACTTCAGTGGTAATAGAGTTATGATAGGTGTGTAGCATTTGCATTAACAAAGAGGTATTCTGAGATCTTTTAAGCACCCTTTAAGATATGTTATTTTTACCACTGATTAAAGCCTTTAAACTGCTGCATGTTGCGCTGGTCCTAACTTCAACGTCTGTTTGCAAATTAAATTGTCAAACATTTGCTTTTTTTCTGAATAGTAATATGGTGGCTAACAAAATCACAAGTTAAATGTAAGGGAATACCTTTTTTTGGTGGGGACTTATGTAAAATCTTCTAGTAAGCATTCTCCTTTAAAGTGTAAAGAGTCCATTTACCCTGGTTTGGATAAAAACTTGATTTGCCTTTAGCTGATTAAGTTAGATGACATGAATATCTTTTTTTTTAAGTATCTATTGAAAAAAATATTTTTTTTTCTTTTAAGGAAAGAAAGGCCAGCTGAATAATTTTCATGTTTCTGAACCTAGAAGAAATGAGGAAGTGGGAAATAAATATTCAAAACTAAATGATATTGAATGACTAGACAAATAAACATATGTTTTATTTTATTAGTATTTATCTGCTGTGGATATAAAAAGAAAATTAACTGCTGCCTTTACCATCTAGATTAGTATTGAAATATGCCTAAGTCAAAGCTGCAGTGGCTCGCACACGAGTTAGTGAAGCAGTGGGAATTTAAGTGGTAAATGGCCTGTACTTATATAGCGCTTTTACAAGTCTTTTCAAGTACACTTGACCAAAGCGCTTTACACTACATTCAGTGATCCACCCAATCATGCACACACTGATGGTGACAAGCTACATTGTAGCCACAGCTGCCCTGGGGCTCACTGACAGAAGCGGGGCTGCCGTACACTGGCATCACCGGGCCAGTGAAGTGTCTTGCCCAAGGACACAACCACACTAAAAGCAAGAGCAGGGGCTTGAACCGTCAACCATTCAATTTCAGGGCAAATTCCTACATCCGATGCCACTGTCGCCCCAAGGGTTAACAGACAGGGTAAAGTGTCTGAAGTTTCATGTTTTTCTTTCCTTTTTTTAAAACATAAATGTAGTTCTGTTTGATACTTTTTTTTGTGATTTTTGTGTTTTTTTATTTTGTTTTTGTGGAATGGACCGATAGTAATGACATAACAGATACTATATCATGCCATCATATGTGGTTATATCTCCTCCAGATCACAGGAGGGGCTGGTTTTGTGGGTTCCCATCTGACTGACAAACTGATGATGGATGGCCATGAGGTGACCGTGGTTGATAACTTTTTCACAGGGAGAAAACGCAACGTGGAGCACTGGATCGGTCATGAAAACTTTGAACTCATCAATCATGACGTGGTGGAGCCCCTTTATATAGAGGGTAAGAAAACATGGTCATATCCAAAAAGCATTTTAATTCATCTTCTTTGCAGGACCTGTCATCTGGCTTGGCCTATGGAAAGAAATAAAGAGAAAAACTGGATTCAGGAAGTGTGCAGGAGCTTCTAATGAGAAAATGTATAATTCAGTGATTTCGTTCTGCTTGGATGTTTAATCTGAATTTCCCTGGACTAAAAACAAATTTAACTTAAATCTTTAGAAACCCTTTGATGGTTTTTCTACTTCCCACAAAGTAATTGTTCTTCAACGTGCTTGCATTATGAATATAACCAGCTTTTATTACTGATCAGTGACCCTCCTTTATAAGAAACTGTTTGCTTTGCCTAAGTGTCCATTAATTCTAATGTCCAAATTAGCGCATGTTAAAAATTTCTACGTTTGTTTGATCTTAAGTGCATTTTTAACTATTTTTATCAGCTAAGCCATTTGGTTTTTGTTTTTTCCAGGATTTACTTTCTTTCTCATACAACTATGCCAGGAGGCTTTCTTATTGACACATGTGCTAGGATTATTTTTTTGAAGTGAAATGATTCCACTACGTACTATTTTGATCATTCTTAAAAATTATGGTTGGTTGACAAGTTTCACTGTATGTTTTTATATTTTATGGTCAAAATTCTACATGCAGGCTGCTAATGAGATATAACCTAAATACCTAAGCATGCATAAGGCCTTAGACTTCCTTGAGAAGAGCATTTTGAAACATGTTCCTTAGTTTTAGACAAACGCGGGGCCATATGTTGCATCTGATATTGAAAAAAGCTCAAATTACAGCTGCAGTGGCTCAAACATGAGCTAGTTAGGCAGCTGGGATATAAGAGTTAATGAAAGGAAAGTTCAAAACGTCCCACCTGACAGGAGCCCGCCAGATGTTGTTTAGTAAAGATTTAAATTTAGCTTGAACTTCAACACACTGCCTTGACATTTAAGTGTTACAAGACCGCCATATCTGTTTCCAATCTGGACAATTCAGAGTTCTCTTTGGAAATAAACTCTTCCAACTTCTCAGTATTCATTTGTTTTGCTTTATGTTGACCACCTGTTAGGCTCCAACGCTGCCAGTCAGTGTGTAAACATGGCTCTTATTAGCGGCTGTGTAAACATCAGTTGTCAGCAAGGATTAAAGAGGCAGAAAACACAACTTACTGCTCAGAACATTGAAGGTTTGCTGTGATAAATAGTGAGTCTATGATGGGCGCACATGGGCTGCGTGCCTTGAATCGTCTCACAGGACTCACTCATGTTTATGCTAAAGAGACCTTGGACGAGCCACCTTCAATAATTTGCTGCATTAAAAGTGTAAGTGTGATAGATGTCAGGCAGACATAATGAATTAAACATCCAACTCATTCATAGTTAATTTCCTCAGTTTATAAGAAAGTTTGTCTGAATGTTTATTCTGATATCTAAAACCTGTGATTTCCCCTGCTGTTCCTTTAGTGTACTTTTGATGTAAAACGAAGGCATACATTTGATCAGCGGTAGTAGAATCCATGTTTCAAACCTTCAATCCAAAAGTTGGTTAACAAAACAGATGAGGAATTTTAAATTGTTGGAACTAAAAAGACGCAGGAAGAAAAAACGAACAATATCATTATGAACTGTCCTTGTAGTGGCTGACCTTTAGTAAAGCTGCCATTCTTTCAAAGTGATGCTTTCTTAATTCTTTTATTTGTAACTGCAGTAGTCAGCCACTCAGTGATAGTTAATTGAAATTCATCAGATCATATAATCTATGCAAAATTTTGGCCAAAGTTGTTTGAAGAGAAAAATCTGGAGGTACCAGTGCTGTTCTTTTTCTCTTTTTTTTTTTTTTTTTTTTTTAGGTTAAGCTATTTGATGAGTTTTAAGTCTGACACTAGATACTTTTTTTTTTGTAACCTAATCTTCACAAATAACATTAAGTCTTATCATTACTAGACTGTAGTATGTAGTTGACTCAAGAAAGGTTTAGAAAGCTAAGAAATTTTAAACAGATCACATTTTTTATGCTGCTCTTTCCCCCCCTACCTTCAGCTTCATCCTTCATATTTTCCTGGACCCAAGGAAAGCCTTGGGCTTTGTTAAAGCTATGCTGAAGCTGAGACATTGTGTAATATTAGACGGGGCATTATCTCTGCTGCAATCAAATGGAAAGTTTAAGAAATGTTTCTTTGTTATGCATTGCTTTTGATATGAAATGCAGACCTCAGAAATCTACTGTCATACCAATTATTTCTTTTTGGTTCGTGAGGCCTTGTTTAGTATGTATAACCCTAAGGTGAGAGCGCTAACTGCTCTCTGATCTTTTACAGTGGACCAGATCTATCACCTGGCTTCTCCAGCCTCTCCTCCTAACTACATGTACAATCCCATTAAAACACTCAAGACCAACACGATTGGTACTCTGAACATGCTTGGTGAGTTATTCTGTTTGTTTGGTTTCAGATGATTAAAGACTTTTCCAGCTATGCTTGATTTTTGCAATGGACAATTCTGGGGTTAACATCGTTGTAAACCACAACCATTTTGGTTGCTGGTTCTTAAGCTTTTCTTATAACCTTTACATAAAAAGCAAACCTAAATTTCCAAGTTTAAGCTTAATCCTTTAACTGCCTGATCAACTGAATGGTTCACCATTTGGAGGATCAAAAGGCAAAGTTTAAAATATTAATTTGTCTAAACATTTATTATGAATCCGTTGACAAATATCTAGGTTTACTCCAGTATGGCAAAATGGTACATTTTAATGGACAGTTAAACATGCTCCAGCTGATACTATGAAACAATTTGTACATATTAAACAAATGACTAAATATCTTGTTTTAAAATGGGTTGTATTCAATCTTACAAAAAAAATAAGCTTACCTAAAAAAGTAGAACAAACTTTTATACTTGAGGACAAAATTAAACTTCTTATTTAAATGTTGCAGAGTGGTAGCATTTTCCAATTATGTTTTTCGTAAGCTTATATACTAAGCTCAATTATTAGTTTTACTTATCAAGGTTTTATTTTAAACTACACCTCAATAATAACTATTAAATTCTTAAATCTATTTTTTTTTGCTGCATCTGAGGAAAATAAGTATTTGAACACCCTTCTATTTTAAGTTCTCACTATTAGAAACCATGGCGAGGTCTGAAATTTTCATCGTAGGTGCATATCCACTGTGAGAGACATAATCTAAAAACTACGACAAAACGGCAAGGTTTTGTTGTACAGGTGTAGCTGCGTGCAACGATTGAAAAAATCGCACAGTGTATGCCCGGGTTAAGACGTCATGGGACGGAAGGTTCCCCTGCTTAAACCAGTACATGTCAAGGCCTGTCTTTAGTTTACCAATGACCATTTGGATGATCCAGAGGAGTCACGGGAGAAAGTCATGTGGTCATTTGAGGGCTAAATAGAACATTTTGGTCATAATTCCAGTAACCGTTTTTGGAGAAAGAAAAATGATGAGTACCATCTCAAGAACACCATTCCTACTGTGAGACATGGGGGTGGTAGCATCATGCTTTGGGTGTGATTTCTGTAAATGGGAGAGGATGATTGCACTGCACTAAGAAGAGGATGACCTGGGCTGTGTATTGCGAGATTTTAGGGAACAACCTCCTTCCCTCAGTTAGAGCACTGAAGATGGGTGGAGGCTAGGTCTTCCAACATGACAATGACCCAAAGCACACAGCCAGGATAACCAAGGTGTGGCTCTGGAAGAAGCATAGCAAGTTGCTGGTGTGGCCTAGCCAGTCTCCAGACCTAAACCCAATAGAGAATCTTTGGAGGGAGCTCAAACTCTGTTTTTCAGCGACATCCCAGAAACCTGACTGATCTAGAGAACATCTGTGTGGAGGGGTGGGCCAAAATCCCTCTAGCAGTGTGAGCAAACTAGATAAAAAAAACTACAGGAAACTTTTGACCTTTGTAATTGCAGAGGTATTCAAATACTTATTTGCAGCTGTATTATACAAATAAACAGTTAAAAAATTATACATTTTGATTTCTGGAATTTTTTTTACATTATGTCTCTCCCAGTGGACATGCACCTAAGATGACAATTTCAGACCCCTCCTTGATTTCTAAGTGGGAGAACTTGCAAAATACCAGGGTGTTAAATTACTTATTTTCCTCACTGTATAAAGCATATGACACAATGCATACTGCTCTGATGACCTGGTGGTTGGGTGCCAGATATCAGTCTTTACGCAGGACAGGATGGAGAGTTACTTTATGCTTTGCTTTATTGGAACCAGCTTGGTTCTGCTCCAGAATCTGTCAGATCTCTCTCACTTTGACAAGAGAGAAATTATCTTGACAAACACCAAAATAAAATAGCAGTTAATAAAATCCACTGCTGTGTTTTAATAAATGTCTTGGTATAACGTATTTGTTTACATTCAGTAAGTGTCCATCTGGCTGTCTTCCTCTCTTTTCCCACATCTATCATTCTCTTTTTCATCACACTTAAAATAACAAACCATAGACTGTTTTTTTTTAACCAAGTCTACTAAAGATAGCCATTAAAGTACAACTTGCATCACCCCAGAGCCTTAGTTTCACACACATATATTTGAAAAATTCTGGGTGCAATTTTGGGTATGATGGATACGCCTTGCTACAATAACAACCTTTGCCTTGCGGCGCTCCTCAGCCGCTCTCTGCTATTGGGATAACATGTAAATAGTTTGCTCCAAATTAGAAATTTGTGGTCAGTGTGATTACACCTTAGATTTATCAGAGTTTGACATATGAATAGATTGATTAGAGGACAGATCTTCACTTCCTTGGCAATATTTTTTTGAAGCTAGTGTATAGAAAAAAACAGACTTTGTCAGTGTACCGGCTCACTATACATGGCGGGGCGGTCAACAACTCTAAAGCTGTTACAGTACAGTCCTAAATTTTCCTCCTCTCACAGCTGACTAAACAAGCTCATCTTGCTTCATGAGAAATGAATGATCCCACTGGAAAGATAGCTGGATAATTGTTACCCAAGGCTGTTTGTGTTGAAAAGATTTTACTTTGAATGATGAAATGTCTTTCCGAGCGATGTCAACCCTCAGGTCATAGGTTTCATTGGCGAGTTCACTTAAAATTTCTTGCTCATTGATCAGTGATGAGAAATTATCATATGTTTTTCTACTCTGCGAGATTTTGCATGAAGCATAGTTTAAGTTGTTTTTAAAATGTGCAGAAGGCTTTTGACCTTTGTGTGTTGCTTTGTCTTTTAGGGTTGGCCAAACGAGTGGGTGCAAGACTTCTACTGGCCTCCACATCTGAGGTTTATGGAGGTAAGACGGACTGAACTGAGCTAGTGCTGGTTTTACTTTGAACTGTTGGTGCTGGAGAATTGTGTAGGGATGCTATTTATTCTTAAAGTTCAAGAAAACTTAAACTTATTAGCATTTTGACACATACAGAAGCTGCTGCGTGGATGGATCTATGGATTTCTTTTTTACTTTTGATTTTTTATTTCTAAGACAGACTGAGCTGGCAGCATATTTTAAGTTTTATTTGGTTTGTTTTTAAAAAAAAATCTATGCATTTAGTTTAACTTTGTATGGGTTTCTTAGTATTAAATACCTAAACTTCTGAAAGTTTAAGGATTTTGTGACATTTTGATGGTAACAGCTTTAATTAAGCATGGTTTTATTAGCGTCCTTATTACAAATAGCAAACCTAGTTCAGGTGATGCTCCACTGTGTGTGAGAACAGTTGCCATAAAAAATAAATTTCCTCTTCTATAACTTTCTATCTTCATTAGCAAATAGTGTAGTGAGTTTCTGTAGCTGCAAACTTAGTATCTGTGTGTCTTACTAAGAAAAACAAGGTTCCTCCCTTAACTCTGACATACACACATGTCGGCCAACATTTCAAAAACCAACATGTCCCATGATAGACACCAGCTAAAAGCTGGAAAAGGTCAAATAGAACAACTTTGATATAATAATGTACGTTCAGCCTTCCTGGAATCTGGTGTTGTTTCCGGGTCAGTTAGCTTGTCAAAACTTTATTTTAGATATACTGAGGTTATCCTGCTGTAATAGCAAAAAAAAAAGGCAACAAAAAATGTTTAGGTTCCAACTTTTATATATATATATATATATATATATATATATATATATATATATATATATATATATCTGATGTAATTGCAGTCAAAGCCTTTGCTCTACCTTAACTATTTAATGTTAATCCAGCACACTGAGCTTGCCTTCAGCTTTGCAACAGTTTTTTAAACAGCATATCTCTGTAACTTTGTGGCAACTGTACTACCTGGTACTCCACCTATTGAACAAGGGTGATCTGTTTGAATGGATTGTTCAATCAGTCTTACGATTTGAATTAATTGTGATGTGATTGGGAACTTTTTGGTATGTTACCCATATGAACGAGATCTTGGTTTCACTGCAACATTAATAGATTTTTAAAAAAGATTTATTTTTGCAGAGCACCCGTATCTAGCGCCATAGCAGTTTTCTAAGAATTTATGAATGGCTGCTTTATAATGAAATTTTTAGGTAGACTTGTAACATATTACATATATTGCTCTAACCTGAAGAAGAAGAGGCTGAGAGTCCAACAGATTCTGTTACCTGTGTCTAGACCAATCGATGTTCCTGTAAGCTTCCTCTCTTCCTTCTCCGCCCCCCCTCTTTTTTACACCAAAACATTTACCAGCTAAGCGAATTGAAAAAATAAAATAAAAAGCAAGATGATTGGTGTGACAGCAGGTGAAAAGGCTAAATGGTGTCTTGTGTTTAATATGTGAAAGTTAGCAGCTCTGTCAATGTCCATATTGGACCTTAGAGGATTGTCAGTCAAGCTGTTAAAATCCAATTTTTGGCAAAAAATAAAAAAAGTGTTTCACTTTAGATGGTCTCAAAAACCTGCAACATAAGGTCTGTTTTAGGCCCCAAATTGTCATTTAATAAATGCTTTGATATGAATTTGATCAAATTGTTTGTCTGTAATCTTTCTGATTATGGTTCTATGTAGATTGTTAATCACTGCTGTGGTAATTATGTCCATGACTGTCTTACCTCAGTCATGTCATCAGAGCACCTGCAAATAAATGGTACCCGAGAGATACAAACTGACCAGGCAACTCTATCTTTCACACACAGATCCAAACACACTAGGCTTGTAGCTACTGTTTTTTTTAGTCATTATCAATGTATTGATTATTTTTTTTATAACATATCCAAACTTTCTCTAAATGCACAGCTAAAAAACAAACACATGAATTGCGCATTTTAAGAATTTCAAATGGCTAAACCATACAAAAAAGAACATTCAAAGCTGAGAAAAGTATTGGAAAAGTCTTAAATTTACTGTAAACAGGTAAAATACACACTTACAGAAATGTATTTAATACTTTGTACAAAAGCTTTTGTTGCCAATGACAGCTCCAAGACGCGTCCTGTATGGAGAAATTAGTCGCATGCACTGCTCAGGTGTGATTCTGGCCCATTCTTCCACACAAACGGTCTTCAAATCTTGAAGGTTTCGCGGGCCTCTTTTGTGTCTTGTAACTGTGTCTGATTATCTGATTTTTTTTTCAACATTAACAACAGTTACTGCACACATATATATATATATATATATATATATATATATATATATATATATATATATATATATATATATATATGGGGGGATAAGAGAAAAGATGGCTCCTCAAGTAGTAACATGGTAAAAAATAAGATAATCGGTCACAAATACAAAATACAGTGGGTGTAAATTCTGGAATCTTAGAGACTAAAATAAAAAATTTATAAAAACAGTATATTTTATCTGTTTTTTTAGTTTAAAAAACTCTTGTTATTCAGTACGACGTAGAGATTAAATGCATTTTATTCTAATAATTCCGGACTAATATATATTCAGGCCATAACTAAAAGAGCAGTTCATTTTATTTATTTATTTATTTATTTATTTTTTAAAGTACAAAGTAAAAGTAAAATAAATGTGACTGTGTAATTTGCCTTTCAAATTTTTAATCGTCCAGGTCATGATATCCAAAATCAGCAACTTAAATAGGTTGCTCTAGTGGAAGTTGTCATGACTTGTTGAAACAATTTAAGAAAAACACTGAGAGGTAACCAAATAGAATTTGAGTAAATTTGTGTATTTTGTGTGCTACTGATTTCTAAAGTTGGAAAAAACTTTTGAATTTCCTAAAGAAAAGTTTAGTTCGACCATTGGTGGATTAACAGATCTGTGCTAACTGTGGTTTGTATAGATCAGAAACGATCACAGCTTCATATTGAATCTATCCTTGTCTTTCTGCTGCTTTTTTCTTTCTTAGTGTTTGAAGCAACAAACAACAGAACAAGTTGTTTCTGAAATTGAAAACAATTGGTATGCAGAGAAAATTAGAATATTTTCATTACTTACATTAGTATTGCAGACTATATGTTGAATTTTTGTCTGCGCTCTTTTGGTTCACTCTGGCCAGGTGTCTCAATAAAATTTAGTTTTGTCTTCATGATCATAAGGATTCTTGATACTGATTCAATTAATTCAATGTTTTTTGTTATTAAACTCAAAATTTAGGCTCAATAGCAACATTTTGTTAATATGTTTTCTTGTAGAAATAAAGTCTTAAGAAGCATTTTTTAAGTTTTTAATGCGCTCATCGTATAACTATGAGTGCTTTTTTTACACCCTCAGATCCAGAGGTACATCCCCAAAATGAGGACTACTGGGGCCATGTCAATCCAATTGGTCCTCGTGCGTGCTATGACGAGGGAAAACGTGTAGCAGAGACAATGTGCTATGCCTACATGAAGCAGGTATCATGTTTTCTTTATTTTATTTTTTCACCTTTGTTTTATTATTAATATATACCTATATGCTGAAGGATAAAAAGTTAGCATTTCACTATCAACCAGTGTTGTTTTTGACAGCCATCTCAGATTTAGTCTTAGTCTTCAGGATTAAAACCATTATTAGTCTTAGTCACATTTTAGTCTAGTTTTAGTCAGTTTTATGTTGCAAAAAATGTGAACATTTACAATTTCGAATAAAAAGCAGCTTCTTTACCAGACTGACAGCTCTTGCCTAGATGCTGCAATTGCTGGGTATAGAATACTGCCATGCAGTTTATCATTGCGGTTGGGCAGAAAACTTTGATCTATCGAATTCAAATAAACTTTTTTAAGAATAAATGCCCAACTTTATAAAAAATTGTCTCACAAAAGCTGTGAAAAACAGCAGATCTAGCTCAACACATCATGTCAGTTAATATAACAGACAAGCTGATAAAATATACAATAAAGGAATCATTTTAGACATACAAGGTTTCCATCGTAAAGCAAACACTTCCTGATCTACTGCGAATTATGCATTACACACAGATCAATAAAATGTTCATTGCTCCAGAAAAACAAATAACCAAAGCATTCTTCTTTCTACTTTGGCAATTTGGGCTTTATTTCTTTAATTTACCTCTTGGTTACCTCTGCTCAGGGGTCAAAGTAGATTTAAATTCACAGGATTTTGATATTTAAATAAATGCTGAGAGAACCTACATAATTCCCTTTTAATCCCATGGCAATCCAGACCTAAACTGAATGACTATGTTAACTAAAATTTTGAAATATTTAAAGAAAACGGATGCTTTAATGACAATATAAGGAAACGTTTACATCTTATTTAAATAGATAGAAACAAGAAGAATGAGAGAAATATTCAAAGATCTATGTACCTTTTTATCTGGCTCTTTATCCAAAAAATAAACAGAATTAAATTAAATATTTTATTTGGATATAATTTAGGTATTACTTTTTGTAGAAATTAAAGAATGTTTAGTATAACCTTTTGTGAGCTGGAAGAAATAAAATATTAATAGTTAGACAGAGGGATTTTTTTACACTTGGCAGAGGATGATCAGCCACATAGTTTATTAAGTAGCAAGAGCAAGAAGAGCCATACAGCTGAGAGCGAGCCATCAGAGTGGAGCGAGAGAAGCGCAGACTCTGAGCTAAACGACCCACAAGCACAGAGGGAAGAACAGAGCAGAGTTTGTCAGAGCTGAGAGCTCAGTACTGGACCATTCCGGGTTATTTTCTCAGACACTGCTGCTGCTGCCATGACCCATCGGTGCTCTTGCAGCATGTGCAACATTACATAGCAGGTGGGCAGTGTGATCAAACAGGACACAGCTGCATGGCTGATACTGCTTAGCAGATTACAGCACAGTGATGCCTTTTAAACGTTTGACCGACGACCCACAAATTTTCATTTAGTTTCGTCTCGTTGACTAAAACTGAATCCTGTGACTAGTCATGTTTTAGTCATCAAAGATCCATGTTTAGCTTGTCAGTTTTCGTTATCGTCATGAAAAGTTTCAAGAAATGATTTCATCATCGTTGATAAAAACAACACTGCTGTCAACCATGGATGTCTTTGAAAGTCATTTCTTTTTTTCTAGATTTCTAGATTATGGTTAAAGATGTTGGGGAATAGTTAGGATTTAGTAATTTTGTAAAACGTGTAACAGTGTTGTTAAATTTACAAACTTTTAAGCAATAGCTTGTAGTTGTTTTGAGAGTGTATCAATTAATCCTTTATCAGCTCACTGAAATTTCTAACGAGGAACCTTCAATGAAGCTCCCAATCATTTCAGCTCAGCAGAGCCTTTTTGATAGCGGGCTGAGTGACAGCAGCCTTTAGTGATCAGATATGACCGACTCCTATTGCCTTTCCTTCAGGCAGGTGGTATTTATTTATCTACGCCGTCTCCTGCTCCTCCTCAGCTGCTCATTATTTTTATTTTTTTTCACACCTGCTAGAAAAAAATCACAGCAAGAGCTGTCTTGAAAACCCCCAGCTGTCAGTCGCCTTTAAGGACAGACAATATTATCACACATCACATCTACCGTCTAGTCATATAGTCAAAAGTCAATAACATTTACAACTGGAAGACAGTGTCATTTTGCAAGGATTCGGGGGGAAATACGGCTCGCACAACTTTAATAATTTGTTAGCAATGTATTGAGAAATGATGATCCACTTTTCTTAGAGGATAATTTAAGTTTATTTTCTGTTATCACTATTGATTGCTGATGGTTTTGCTAGAAGTTACTGATAGTACTATTAGTAATGCAGCTATGTATGAATATCCAACTATCTGTTTAAAAAATGTAAATACATCCTTTCGTTTGTTTAAGCTTCTTAAGAAAAGCTAGTTTTATTAAGAGCTATTTTTCTAACCATAAAAGCTGAACTTGCACTCTATTTGACAAAGATATGCATTTTTTCAGCTGGCTTTCATGCAGCTTTTCGTTTAGTTTACCTTGAAATTAAAAGATGAGAATCAGTTTTAATATCCAATCTTGGTCTGACTTGCTGTCATAAATTGTCGTAATTGTTTGAAGGTATGAATGGCTCAATAGATAAATGTACATCACATAATGGTAGCTACAGGAAGCCATGGCTTATTGACAGCCTTATTAAAGGTAGAATGGACTGTGGGCCAAACTGAGCGCTATGAATAAGGCCTTAGTTTCAAACTTTGACATCCACAGTATTTGCCACCTGAAATATATATTTTTAATTAGCTGAAAATAAAGATAAAGTTTCTTTCATTCAGCCTGCTCATAAGTCATTTTTGCTGAAGGCTTTGTCCTAAGAGCCCCTCCTAGATGGAGACAGGATCACTTTTTATCTTAGCGTATAAAAATAGGTCAGCTTCATAGACAGAGATTATTTAAACTTTAGGTGTACATTCAGGCATCTCTGTATCACTTTACCTGTATTTAGTCCTTGGTCTTCACTCTTGAAATAGTTTACAAGTCAGCTCTTATGAATTTTATGATCCACAGTTTCAAGAAAACAATATACATAATTTCCATGTTTTTATTCATGCATTTTCCCACTTGTTTATGCATGAAGCTGACTTTAGGAAGGCCACAGATTATAAAAACAGGTTTTATTATCTGTATCCATGATAAAGTGGTTCTCCCTGATTTAATTTTTGTTCACAGTAGGTAGGATCTGAGATATTCACCTAATGAAAGTAAATTGCTCCTAACGTTTTGAGTCAAATGTGATCACTCCACATGTTATACATATTTGCTATTGTTATGAACGGATGTTTTTCCTTATATCTTATATCTTTTATATCTTGAATGAGAAGCATTTACTTGTAGCTTATGGGCATAAAACTGTGAGGAAAAAAATAAGGTTAATAACAATGTCTGTTAAGTTGATAAGACTTTCCAAATAAGAATAAACAATGTAACTTTAGCTGTTTGGTAGACTCAGAGGTAACTTTCTTCTCAGTTTTTTGGTTCCATTTTAAAGGAAGTTTGCCTTGAAGTTTTTTTGTTAAATAAGTAGACAAGAAGAATTTTAATTTTGTAGCTTTATTTCCCCTCACTGCAGTCATACAAGTACAATAAGTTCATTTCCAGCTCCAATCCATCTTAAAAACAACAATACAATACTTTTACCTACGTAGGCTTTGTCTCAAAGCTTCTGAGAAAAGTAGTTGGTGCCCATTGTGGCTCTGCAAAACAAGGTGAAAAATACAACTTTGCTTTGCTTTTTTAATACTGCATAGTCTGCATAGGAAAACATTTTTGTGCTAATAAAGAGTTGAAAAATTCTACCAGCCTTTATTCAGACTGCATTGTGCTGACTCAAGGAGAATTTTTTTATTTTGTCCCTGATATAACCTCTGAGATTTCTAGAAAATATAATAAAAATACAAGAATCTTTTTCAATCTTTTTCTTTTTCAACTTCTGTTTGTGTTACATGGGCCTAAGCTGCATTGTGGGGGGTGATTTTAGTTTAAAATACCCTAAACTTGCTAAAGTATTCCAATATTTACCAGGAAATTGACATGTTAAAATATAAAGAGTAATTCTGAGCTTGCTAAGTTCAACTCTTTCTCACAGTTGATCCTTTCCTTTAAGCAAATTAACCTTTATAGTACCTAATGTTTAATGCTCACGACCAGTACAAAAATATTCAGCAGTAGGAAACAGATTAAGGCCTTTATTGTTGTTTGTGTGATGAACATAAACGAAAAATTAAAGAAAGGAAAGAATATGACTTAATATGAAATCTCATAGGATTGAATTGTGTTACAGAATTCCTTTTGGGTTTTTTTTTATGAGAGTTCAGCTTACAAAATAATTAACTCTGTGCCAAACAAGTAAAATTTATTGTTTTGAATAACTTTACAATTTTAATAACAGACCACAAAATGAGGATTCTCCAAGACAAGTCTTCATGAAGAACAGAAAGCTAAAGGGAAGCAGAAAATAAAAACTGACTTAATTATGCAGGATGAGAGATTCAAAGTATATTCTGATGTTCATTATCAAGCATTTTCAGCCAGTATGACTGACCTTTTAGCTGATAACATGTGCAAAACAACAGCAGAACTGTTGTACGCCTGCCTATGCAGAGGAAAAAAAAGCAACAAATGTGGATATGCGTTGATTCTGGCTGTTCTGGGACCTTAGAATCAACCCTGCTGGGTTCAAAGAGCAATGGTGGCTTCATATATTAACCCATTGACTGTCACATCCCATCCATGGGTCTTATGTGGTGCATTAACATTTTTAGCCTCCTGTCTGCCATTACAACAGTTTTATATGAAAGGGTGTTTGGATTAAGGAAAAGCTTAAACCAGGGCTTCCCAAACTTTTTCTCCCAAACAGCACCAGCTAATGGCTGGGAACTCGCTTTGCAAACAGAGAATACAACATATGTTTAAACTTTTATACCTATTCAGTTGTTATTACTTTTTTTAAACAAAAAATATTGACAAACATGTTC